CCTGACCACAGCTGGAAGGCTCCCAATTTTATGGACTCATATGATTAGACTAGGCAGAACTGGGCCAGAGCAGGGCTTCTGTCCTTATCTGGCAGCACCCTGTCCACCTTCACAGTCTGGTCCTAGAGGATCAGGCCAAGGCTGGAGGTAGAATTGCAGGTTCCCATAGGGCTGGATGAAGTTGCTAATCTGAGTGCTGAGGCAACAACCCAGATTTCTGATAGTCCTGATGAGACAGGCTCTCCAGGCACCACATCAAGCAAAGTTCAGTCTACTCTAGGTTTGCAGTGTGAGCCAGACTGTGCTGCATTTCCCCAGCCAAGTTTTGAGGTAAGATGTCATGGCTCTGTGCTCTGGGTTGACACCTTAGTTTTCACAGCTGTCTGCATCCATCACACGCACATCTATGTCTCCTGCTCTGTTGCAAATGAGGAATAGTAAATTGATCTATGTGGCTTTTTTTATTCAATATATATGTGGGTGTGTTCCTGCTCCAGCATTTGTGCCTCCTGGGGAGCTCCTGGTAGGCCTCAAATCACAGAACGGTGAGGGGTGGCCTGGGAGGTACAGGCAGGCAGCATGGGGCTGCCTGCACTCCACCGTGGGGAAAGGAGGGGACTGGTGGTGGGCTTCTCAGGGTGGAGGTTGGCTTCTCAGGGTGCTCCATGTTGCTACTGGCTGCTCCTCACCGCATAATTGGACTAGGGAAGGAAGGGAAAGCAAGTCTCAGAAATGGAATCATAGAATGAGTGAAGCCAGTCCCCAGCCCCAGAGCAGCCTCCTCTCACAGCCCTTCCTGCTGGATTTCTGGGTTCTCAGGGCCTTCCCAGTCCTTCCCTTGTGCCCTGGTGTCCATTAGAGGGGTGACCACCACCTTCTGTGCCCCACAGTCATGGAGGTGCCTCCAGAATGCTGGGGTTTGCAATACAGTTTGCACTGCTCTGCATAATGCCCAGGCACTGCTGACTCTTACCCTGCTCCTTGGGTCAGGGGCCCCTCCTCACACCACCTTTTCAATGCTCGGCTGACTTAGTTTCTTCCCAATCTTCCCCCATCCTTCGCGTGGGTAGAGCCTTGTACCTGGAGCACAGCTCACACCCAGGGGTTCTCCAACCTGGCTACACATTAGTATAAATCCCTGGGTCACATCCCCAGAGACTCTGGTTTAGTTAGTTCCGGAGTGGAGCCCAGAAATCTATTTTTAGCAATCTTGTTGGGTGGGGATGGGGGGCACTTTTTGGGAGTGAATTATGCCAGACAATAGGCAGACACTGGACTATCCTTGGTCTGCTGGGACGATGGTCTTCTTGTGGTTGGTGACAGATGCATGCTGAACTGGGAGTCAGTCTCTGCATCACCCCAGCCAGAATAGTCACAGCTGCTCTGAGTATCCTGTGGTGGGCAACCCCTTTCCCTGCCTTGTAGTTGCCTTCCATAGGCCTGAGACTCTGCCTCATCTCTGTGTGTGCAGTGCCAGGAGGAGGTGCTGGGCTGGGAGTTGCACCTGCCCTTTTGGGTGTGCATCACATCCTACATTTTCTAGAAGAGGAAACTGAGGTTCAGAGAGGTGAAAGTCTTGTGCCAGCTCTCTCAGTGGGGGACACAGCTGAGTCCTCACCAGGCTGCCAGGCCCTACTGCATGCTCTGTGCTTCTGCCTTCAGAGGGCTTTACCTGAAGAGGGCACTGAATAATCCTGCTTTAAAGATCAACTTTAAACATATAAATTGAAACATCTGCAGGAGCACTTTCACTAATTAAAGAACTATCAGACCCTGGAGCCAAAAGCCTCAATTAGCACCACCTGACCTGGCCCTCCATCCCACTTAGGATGTGGTCTCCTGCCCCGATCCCACCCTCCCTCCTAGGAACCCCAGCCCAAGACCCTTGGCCTCAGTTCCTTGGCAGTGGTCCTCACTGAGAATGTTGAGCTCAGATTCCTAGGGATTAAGAGTAAATTGTTCATGCATCTTCTATTTCATTCTAAAATCTGTAACAGTTTGAAGGAAGGCCAAGCCCATGCTGGGAGGAGCCTAATAGCAGAGAAGACAGAACTCCATCCACCTCTGAAACTGGTTCTCAGTCCTGGTCCTTCCTTCCCACTGAGAAGAGGCACTTGCAATCCCCTTCCCCACCCAGCCAGCAGCTCACAGAGGCCACGCTGCAAGGAGCACAGCACATAGCTGCCTGGGGGTGCCCTGTTGGCTCAGCTCAGTTACTCTGAGAGCTTCTTCCAAATTGGAGGCAAAGTGGTGTGTGGCAGGTCTTTTCAAACTTTCTTTAGCAGCGAAGTCCTTCTTCAAGTGACAGAAGCCCAAGGAGTTTGGGAAGGCAGCTGAATCTGGTGGGGAGACACCGTCATCGGGGAGACTAGCATAGCTGGGAAGTGCCACGGGGAGAAGGCTCCGGATCTTTGCACCCTGGCAGGACGTAAGGGCCAGGGAGACCATGCAGGAAGAGCATTCTGAGCAGAGAGAACACCTGTGCTGGGGCCCTATGCAGGAGGGAGCAGAACCACCTGACAACAATGGGGATCCCAGCAAGGTGAATCTGGGCCTTGCCAGCCAAGTCACTGGGTTTCCTCCTTGAAGCAGGGGGAAGCAACTGAAGTGTTTTAAGAAGTTGGGACAGGCAGAAGCCACACACATGATCCCATCTATAGAATGGTTAGCGGATGCGGAAGGGCTGCGGGGGCAGGGGAGTGGCGCGTGAATGGCCACTTAGACTAGGGTGTTCCAGTGGGGATGGACAGACAGACGTGGTCAGACATGGGAAATACAGAGTAGGCCAAACTGCTGGCGTGGGGCTCTGAGGGGTTGGATGTGAGAGGGCTTTTGCAGCTCTTCCAGGCCCTTGTGTCTTATTACATGGATACAACTTCTCAAGTCTCTATTTTACAATTGCTTCTCATTTTAAAATTTCTTTTGTTGCTTGAAGTATTTGTTTCCTCTGCAGTCAATTCTTCACTTGCCATTTGGCCTTTTTCTTTCCAGCTGTCCATTCTTCGCTCATGCCTGTTTATGCCTCTTGAATTTGAGTCTGTATGTACATTTTAAAGAGGGAGTCTGGGGGCCCGGTGAGCGGTCCTTCTGTTATGTACAGACAATATCCCACAGTGTCTCTTCTCCTGTGTGGAATTTCTAGGCAGACAACCAAGATGTGTCAGCACTTTGCTGTAAGGCAGTTTCGAGTGGAGGGGAATGTCCGTCAGCCATACTACCCTTCCCCTCAATGCCAGGACTCAGTGGACTTCAGACACGGGCACCTGGCTCCACTCTGGAGGTCTGCTTAGAGGACAGCTCTCCATGGGGCGTCTGCCCCTGCCTCCTAGCCTGGTAATGACCAGTCCTTGTCCTGTGGTGGGAGGGCAAGTGAGCCCTCTCTGGGTAGACCTCCACATGGTCTTGTCTGTAAGCACACTTCTCGCCTGAAAGGTGGGGTTTCCTTCTCGGGGGCTCCTCTGTGACTTTGACGATTCACTGCCGCCATCTGCCTTTTGTTTTCCAGAAGTGTGAGTCACCTTGTCCACTGGCGACTCATCCTCTTCCATAACTTTTCCTCCATGCTCTTTTATTTCACGGAGGTTGGGAAGGGTGAAAATCAAATGCATGTGCTCAGTTCACCATCCTGAACTAGAATTCAGAGGATTTCTTCCTATATAAAGTGCTCTTACAAATCCATAGACTTTGCTTCCTTTCCTTAGGACTAAAGCTGTGGCAGCTACCTTGATTTCTCTTTCTCTCAAACCCACATCTGATCAATGAGCAAATCCTATGTCTCTGCCTCAGTAAAGTCCCGAATCTGCCACATCTTGCCCCAGCACTGCTACTTCCGCAGTTCAGCCCACCTTCCTGAGCACATAGATTTCTGCAGGAGCTTTTAACTGGCCTCCTGCTTTTACTTTGCCCCTTGTTCTGTCTCTATAAATCAGCCAGAGTGGTTTAAATTAAAATATGTCATTATCCACTCAAATCTTCCGGTTGGAAGTGAAGAGAGTATGTGGATGGATGAAAGAAGGCAGGGGATACTGCAGACACACACAGACTCTAGGATCTGAAGAGAAGCCCCATACTGGGGTGAATAGTGTCTCCCAAATTCATGTCCACCTTATTTGGAAATAGGGTCTTTGCAGATGTAATCAAGTTAAAACAAGGCCATACTGTATTAGAGTGGGCCTGAAATCTAATGATTGATGTCCTTATAAGGAGAGGGAGATACAGAGACGTGGAAGGAAGAAGATCATGTCACCACGAAGATGGAGACTGACGTGATGCATGTATAAGCCAAGGAACGCTGAGCATTGCTGGCAACCACCAGAAGCTAGGAAGAGGCGAGGAAAGATTCTGCCCAAAACCTCAGGGGAATCACGGACCTGCTGACACCTTGATTTCAGACTTCAGCTCCCCAAACTGTGAGAATAAATTTCTGTTATTTGAAGTCACCCAGGTTGTGGTAAGTTGTATGGCAACCCGAGGAAATGAATGCAAGCCCTTATCCTGGCCTGTAAGGCCCAGGAGGGTCTGCCCTCACCTTAGGACCCTCACTCCACCTCATAACACTAGCCCTGAATAGGCCTTTTCCTTGAACAGACCACATACATGCTCTTGCCCCAGGGCCTTTGCATATGACCTTCTCAGGGATCTGCATGGAGTACTTCATTCAAGTTTTGGCTGAGAAGTCACCTTACAGAGGGGCCTTCCCTGACTAATATAACCAGTAAAGCCCCTGCCTTCCTAATCCATTCTTAGTTGTCACTGCCCGCTCTAGTTCTCTTCATAGCACTTACTGCCAGCTAGTGTATAGTCACTTGTTTAGTATTTGTGTCTTCCCGTTGCAATGTAAGCCTCACAAGGGCCAGGACTTTGTTAATTGTATTTATGACTGTATCTCCAATGCCTAGAATGGTGCAAGGCATGTGCCTAGTATGTAATCAGTTAATGAGTAAGAAAAAAATCCACAAGCCAGTTGAATAAAGGGGTAGACCCAAACAGGCAATTCAAGGGGGAAAAAATGCCAGTTTTACCTCACTGTTGCTCATAATTAAAGCAATACAAATTAAGTCTGCAATGAAATCATTCTCACCTATAGATTACAGTGAATGAGAGGGGAATTGGGTGCTGCCCTGAGAATGTAACTTGGACTATTTATTCTTTTTAAAAAATTGAAATATATAATTCAGATAATATAAAATTCACCCTTCTAAAGTGAATAATTCAGTGTTCTTTTTTTTAGTGTATTCACAGTGTTTTAGGACCACCACCACTATCTAATTCCAGTACATTTTAAGTACCCCCAAAAGAAACCTCCATACCCATTAGCAACCATTTCCCTTTCCCCCACTTGGCAGCCCTTGGTGACTACTATTTATTTTATGACTCTGTGGATATGCCTATTGTAGACATTTCATGTAAATGGAATCATACGTTGTGTGGCATTTTGTGACTGGTGTCTTTCGCTTAGCATGACGTTCTCAAGGTTTTTACATATTATAGCATAAACTTCATTCCTTCTTATTGCCATTTAATATTTCATCGTATGGAAGTACCACATTGTGTTTATCAATTCATCAGTTGATTGACAGTGAGTTGTTTACACTTTGTGGGTAATACAAATAATCCTGCCATGAACATTCGTATTCAAGTTTTCATGTGAGCATAATTTTTCAGATATCTTGGCTATATACCTAGGACTGTAATTGCTAGTAACTTTTTGGTAACTCTGTCTTTAAAATCTTAGGGAACTGCTAGACTGTTTTTTAAAGCAACTGCACAATTTCACATTGTTACCAGCATTGTACTAGAGTTCCATTTCCTCAACAGCTTCATTAACACTTGTTATTATCCACTTGTTTTTATTATAGCCATGTCACTGGGGTGAAGTGGTATCTCATGTGGATTTGATTTTTCATTTCCCTGATAACTAATGATGTTGAGCAAATTTTTATGTGCTTATTTGTCATTTATATATTTCTGTAGACAAATGTCTATTCAGATTCTTTGTCTATTTTTAATCAGGTTATTTGTCTTTTATTATTGAATTTTAAGAGTTCTTTACGCATTCTGGATACTAGACCATTATCATATGTATAGTATACACATATTTTCTCCCACTTTGGAGGTTGCCTTTTTAATATCTTTATAGTGTCCTTTGAAGCACAAAAGTTTTTAATTGTGATGAAGTCCAATTCATCTCTTTTATATTTAATTGCTTGTGCTTTCGGTGTCATATTTAAGAAACTATTGCCTAATCCAAGATCACAAAGATATACACCAATGTTTTCTTCTAAGAGTTTTATGGTTTTAACTCATATATAGGTCTTGGATCTATTTGGAGTTAATTTTTTTTCAGCTTTTGTATTTTTTTTTCAATTATAGTTGACATACAATATTAAACTAGTTACAGGGGTACAACACAGTGAGTAGACATTTATATAACTTATGAAGTGATTACCCTGATAAACCCAATACCCATTTGACACCATATGTAGTTCTTACAATACTACTGACTATATTTCCCATGCTACAAACCACATCCCCATGACTATTTTGTAATTACCAGTTTGTACCTCTTAATCCTCTCCTACTTCATTCATCTCCCAACCTCACAATCGGACAACCATCAAAATGCTCTCTGTAACTATGAACTTGTTTCTGTTGTTTGTTTGTTTATCCTGATCTCTAGATTCCACATATGACATTTGTCTTTCTCTATCTGACTTACTCCACTCAGCACAGTACCTTTTAGGTCCATCTATGTTGTTACAGATGGCAAGATTTCATTCTTGCTTATTGCTGAATAGTATTCCATTGTATGTATGTACCACCTCTTCTTTATCCACTTATCTATTGATTGACACTCAGAATGCCTCCATATCTTGGCTACTACATATCTTGGCTATTACATTGCCGCAATAAATTTATGGATTCACAGGTCCCTTCAAAATAGTATTTTGGGTTCCTTCAGATAAATACCCAGAAGTGGGATAACTGGGTCCTTTTTTTCTCTTGTTATAGCCTTTGTTTTAAAGTCTGTTTTGTCTGGTATAGTATTGCTACCCCAGCCTTTTGTTTTGTTTTGTTTTGTTTTGGATGTATACACATTTTCATGAAACAACTTTTTCATCACTTTACTTTCAGTCTATGTGTGTCTTTCTATCCGAAGTGAGTCTCTTGTAGGCAACATATGTAGGGCCTTGTTTTCTTATCCATTCAGCCACCCTATTTTCTATCTGGAGCATTTAACCCATTTACATTTAAAATAATTGTTGCTAGGTATGCAGTTATTGCAATTTTATTATTATTCAATTTTT